GAGAGAGAGAGAGAGAGAGAGAGAGAGAGAGAGAGAGAGAGTGAGTTACGCCGAGACCGCGCACGAGCGCAGGAAAAACCACTGAGGGAAGGGGAACAACCGGATCAACAAACTCGTACTCCTAAGCAGACGTCCCCCAGTTCCGTTTCCCCATCCCTGCCCGAACGAGTACATACACACATACATGCATGCAATCAACAAACTTTGACAGGACATCTAATCATCCATGGACCTTCGACATCACTCATGCGCACCACCAGCTCCCATCACTCGGGGCTTCACGCACATGACATGCATAGACAAAGCAGCAATGGAGATAAAAGCGAGTCCTTCTTCTACACAAAAATTTCAATTAACTGCCACCCCCAGGAGCAGCCTTCAAAACTCCCCAAGACCACCGACCACCATAGCCACAAGGCCCTGCCGCGGCCGGCGTCCAATCCCCACCACTGCTCAGTCCCTCCGACTGCTTCGCCCCGAGACTACCGCGGGTCCACCCCACGTCGTCACTCCGCCCGTCCTTGGGCTCGTCGAGCCTGTTCGGCGCCGCGGACTCTCGCGCATAGCTCGCGCAGCATTGCAGTTGAGATCAAAGAGAGAGAGAGGAGAGGGTTGCACGAATTTATAGCGTGGGAGGCGGCGGGTTGTCAGCGCGAGGTGCGGGCAGCGCAGGTTGTAGATGAGCAGGACAGGAGGAAGGTGGGGAGTTAGAGGGTTCAACCCGCGGGATGGCATGGTCCTACGTGATTGGGGTGTCCGTTCAAGTGGCGCGCGGTTTCCCGCTCTCCACATTGATCCGAGCATCCCAACTACGCGGCCAATGACTTCGTGGGGTGAGGATCGAGCTGGGCGGAGGGGAAGACGAAGAGTCCGGCATGGGGAAAATGCTCGCAGCAAGGAGGGAAGATGGCGCGAGGATGCAAAGCAAGAAACGGGGATGCGAGACGCGCGAAGAAATCGGAGCTTGGGCGCGTGCGCGCAAAAATTCAAAAAGTCCCAACCACACCCGTTTCTTGGTTTTCATACCGCGGCCGCTATTCGCTCGCGGGAGTTATTAACCAAACAAAATGAAAAAGCCATTTCAAAAAGAAAACAAAAGCAAAAAGAAAGAAAACCCCTTTCTATCCGCGTCCGTACTTCGGGGCTTCCGCGAGATTTTTCCTCAGGGATAAGGCAAGCCGCGCGGTACGGATCTGAGCTTATCACATCTGTGATACGCAGGGGGTTCCGAAAAATCAGCAGTCTCCCGACTGCTGATGTCATCATATGTTGGATGATCGGGCGGCCTCTTCATCCTCAGCTGGCCCAATCTTCCTAATCTACGTGGATGCGTCCTGCATCCTCCATCGCCTCCTCCCATAGTATACATTCAATCGGGCAGCCCCTTCATCGTCAGCTGGCCCGATCGGTAAGTAATTTTTTTTTTTTTTTTTTTTTTTTTTTTAATATACAGCGAGTACCATCGCGCAAACTTTGGGGATAGGAGAAGAAGGCGATAAAGAGAAGGAGAAGGAGAGAACAGGGGAAAGGTAGACGGGGGTGATCAGAGGAAGTGATCTATGTCAGGATTGAGAGGGGGCGGAATAGGCGGAAGAAAAGCGGCCATTACCGCGGAAGTCATCGGCGCATCTTCCTCATGGAAGTGGTGCTGCACGAACGAGGGATAGAGGAAAGCCCCCGACAAATGAGATAGGACACGGGGCGCCAGATCCGCCACCGCTCGCACCACCCGTTTGCGCACCGATCGGGGCCCCGGACCCGCTATCACCACATGAGTCTCGGTGTAAGGCCGCCGCTCCCACTTCCGCGCCGCGAAGACAAGGAAGTGGTACATCACATTGGGACGCTGCCCGGTCTCGTAGATGAGAGTCCCAGCCAATCGCGCCGCAATACACCCTTGAAAAGGGGGTGTTAGATATGGCTCCCAGGCCGGATCAGGGCGCGGCGCCCCCGCGATGGCCTTGAGCGTGATGGTGGTGGGCTCCACCATGAAGTCCACCTCTGTCGGATGGACCGTCTGGCTCGGAGGAACTACTAATGTCAATGACCGGGGCACCCCGGGGTGGCTGGCGGGAACGGAGAGGTCCCGCGAGGACGGGGGTCTGGATATGGGATCCGGAAATCCCATTCGGCTTCCTCCTCCTGCTGCTGCTGATGATGATGGCCCGGCTCCATCAAGATTGAGATCGGGCACACGTGGAAAGGGCAGCGATGGCACGACTATCTCCTTAACGGGCGTAGCCACACGCGCGGGCTGAATCACTTCCTCGCCGCCGCCGATCCTGCTGCCTTTCGCTCTTGGTGACGGGTGGCGTCTCTTCCTCTTCGGCGTCTTCTTAGGGGCCTTTGGTGGCGCTGGTCGAGAATACGACGAGGGAGGCCGCAACGGCCTTTCCTCCGGGAAGTCCTACAACCTCTCCGCCCGCTGCGCAATGTAATCTGGGATGACGACCGCCGTCGCCGTCCGCAATCATGGTTGGATCTCCTCCTCCTCGCTCGCGATCACTTGCGCAATGGAGAGGACCTCAAGATGTATGAGCTCCAACAATCCCGGATCGATCGTCTGGAGCTTGGCGAAGGGGTACAGCGCCACCATCCCTTCCTTCTCCGCTGGCTTGGGCCGTGTGATGACGTAGTAGACGACGAAGTGCTCCCCGATGCAGTGGTCTTCGTGATCCACAAAGAACCAGAACATCCCCAACGCCACCGACGTGTACAGCCTATGGTGCAACTCCCACGCGTCTTCGTCGCCGAAGGGCAGCGGCTCCACGTCAGTTAGCTCCACCAAATACGTCGAGAACTCGCGCATGGGATAAGGGCCCTCCGTGAGCTGGTAGGGGAGGGTGGTGTAGGAGAAGAAGGGAGGCATTTAGTACGGGACAGGGGGAATAGCTTGGAAGTTGAGAGAAGCAGCGGGAGGGAGAAGCGCGGGGAGCTGCGGCACCAATGCAATCGGTCCGTCCTCTGCCCTATGCAGCAGCACTTTGTGGGCTGTGAATCGGTGTCCCCCCCGTCCTTGCAATCTGGCCACTGATCTGACCGCTTCCACCGCGTATTCGCGCACAAAGCTGCGCGCCGGCTTCCGATTCGGCTGCGGTAGGATCGTCAAGTCTCCGATAAAGGTGGCGACGCTGTGCACAAAGTTGGGTGCCACCTGGAGCGTGCAGAACTCAATGAATACTCGGGTCGTCTCCCGGCCAGGCAACTGCGTCACGTCCACGTACACCCCCGCATACGCCAGCCGATCGCAAAGCAACGAGCACGCCGCCAAATCAGCAACCCCGGGCGCTGGCACGTTCACCTGCTGGATGTCGTACCGCAACTGGCTTTCCTCATTGAACCGATGCCGCAACAAGCGATCTGCAAGCGGCGTTTGGAAGTGCTCAAGGGGCTCATGCTCCGGCTGGCGATGGTTCATCCTGCTCCCTGAAACTCTTTGCACCAATGGACGAGGCAGATCGGGAAGAGGAGGAGGATGAAGAAGGAGAGGGTGATCTCGCAGGAGCGGGGGTCTGTAGGGGACCTAGCGATGGCTGGAAGGGCCGGAGCGTGGCAGCGTGCCGTGTCAACGGTTGGGCCTGGGAGTTGTGACGGGGAATCAGCTTCACGGAGTTCTGTCCGTGTGCGCAAACTTCCGTGACCTCGTAAATGCCTGTGTAGCGCGGGTGGATCTTGGAGGAGCGCACAGATTTCCGTACCTGCACCAAGTCCCCAACTTTATAGCGGGGCAGTGGTCCCGCCGACGCGTGTCGATTCTCGTAGTCACGGATCTGCCGTTGATGTGTCCGATCTACGGCCTGCTGTCGACGGCGAGCT